GTAAAAATTTTAAAAAAATCTATCGACTAGAAAATTTTCGCGCGAACGTCCTTAGATAAAAACACTGGCTTTGAAAAGATATTTGGGCTATTGAAATGGCTTGCAATAAGGATCGAATTTGATAAACATTCACATCAAAAAGGGAAGACCACAAAAATAGTACCATCCGCTATTCCAGAAAGGAAAGCATCTGGAATCCGTCGTTCGGAGAATTCCTCCTTACAGAAAAAAGACAAACAAGTGAGGGCTCCTTCTCCACTTGAAGTCATGATAGCAGGTACAAATTACGGTCACTTTTGAAATTATGTTAGATCGTGAAAGCCGTTTACGTCTACACTAGGTTTCTTTTCGAAAGAAAATAAGAACTTAAAAGGGATATTTTTGGAACTAAATTATCCCGAGAAGCTTATCGTCCCGCCCATCATCAGTCTCCAGCACCCTCCAGACTTGACGTATAAACCATCGGACAGCTTCCTGCGGATCCTGACTATTCGCGACCTTACAAGAAAAATAAACTATGATTTGCAGCCAATTTTATAAGGAAAACGGTCATTGATGGCCTTAATTAGAGAAACAGAATTGAAGCCTCCCATAGTAAGCCAACAGACTGTTGCATGTGAATTTCCCTGTGATTTGATTGTGTGAGCTGCTATCGGTTATAGGTGGCGCCTTCCGCGCCAACGTGTAGAGGAACATAAATTAAAGATTCCGTAATCGCAAAAAAAAAAAAAAAAAAAATTGAAAGACCGCCGGTGAACCCTTAAACGTGAACCGTTAAAAAATGCCGAGGCAAGCTTGAGTGTTGATTTTTAAAGGCTCGTGATTAGAAAGAAAAGACCGAATTTTCGCGAAACGTTTTGTTCTAATACTTGCGTTTTTATATTTTACTTCCTTAATTTGTTTTTCTGTATGTTTTTACCCTTTACCGCTCCAGTTCTGTTTCAAATTCGACAATGATCATGATGACATGAAGTCGTCGAAACGCCGTGTTATGTTTTCTATCGTTCATTTTTCTTTTAAAATAAAATGGTTTATGCTTTTATTTACGTATTTATTTATTTATTTATTCATTTATTTATTTTCAAAGAAAACAGATAATGCACAAATTTTACTTTATGTTCCTGTTCTTCGTTTTTGATTTTGTCAGCAATTATTTTGAACTGTGGTAGTTTTCCTGTCCCCCGACAGTACATTTTGAGTTATTTTTTGGCAATTTCGGTATGCTAAAATTGATCACAAAGCTCACTTTCTTTTTGATAAACAGGAGTTAAGAATAGAAGATTATGAGGTTGGACGTAAGAAGGAAGTTTTTTCGGTATGCAAAAGTAGTGGAAGTCTGTTTGGAAATACATCTGGAACAGGATTTAGCACTTCATCGTCATTAACTGGACTAAAACCAACGAGTGGTTTTGGAACACCAGGTTTGGAAGTAATCTTCTCAAACTCATTAATAACTTCATCAAGTTAAAACAAAGAAAATCACAACCGTTAAGGAGGTTTGGATACTCGGTCTTAAGAGGCGCCCTCTGTAATTTTCAACTATGGCCATTTGGACCAGAAAAAATCAAATTCCTCAAACTTTCTCAGATGAATAGTCTAGATAAGTGGTTTACAAAAATATAACTTTCAGTTCAGTTCGATTCTATTTTAGCGCTGAGGCCGCCATCTTGGTTTTGCCCCTCTGTGTGGGCTTTCAGCGGCCATTTTAGGGCACATTTTTAACAATTTGCCATACAAAGANTATTTTTGTGAATCACTTATCTAGACCATTCATCTGAGAAAGTTTGAGGAATTTGATTTTTTCTGGTCCAAATGGCCATAGTTGAAATTTACAGAGGGCACCTCTTAATGAGCATAGATTTTGACAATTTTATTTCACCGTTTACTCCTTAGTTTTCGTTACGATTGACAAGATATATCAAACACTCGAGACAGTGTTTCATCGGCTATCCAAACACCTCGGATTTCGTCAAAAGCACTCCGCTGCGCGTCGTATTTTCTACTCTGTTCTCGGTGTTTGGATATTCCGATGAAACACTGTCTCGAGTGTTTGATATATTACCTCTTAGTCGTTAATCTCTCGTGCCTTGATATGGAAACAAAACAAGAGAACATAATATGAGGTTTTAAAATATTTTATTTCTTAGCTGTCTGCTTTCAAGTGCCTTTACTGATTTGCCGGAGGACTCGCCAGAAGGCCCAGTAGAGCTCGAGAACCCAGCAGAGATGCGGAGGGGTTCCTTTTCTTCTCATTTCTCTGGTTTTGATTTAGTTCTTTCGATTTAAAAGGCGAGAGTTATTGCTTTACGGCTGCAGCTGACGAACTGTCACAACACTGTATAAATGCTGCCATCAGGATTGCACTGATAGTACACCATAGAAAGGCCGATTTAGTGATTAGAAAAGTTGTTTCATAATTGCTTTTATTTTTATCTTAGGAGAATCAGCGTTTACATTTGGCAGCCCAGCACCCACGGCAACTCCTGTCACACCTGGAGGCGTGTCACTGGCTAGTTTGATTACAAATGCCACCTCTTCCCCATTCACAGAGGGGCTTACACTTGGTAAAACCTCTGACTCCACTGGGATATCAAACACTGGGTTTACCTTTGGTGGGGGCTCGACTCAACCTACGGTTGGTGGATTTAACTTTGGGTCTGCAGCAGTAGAAAGTTTGACAACAAATGCCACCTCTTCTCCATTCACAGAGGGGTTTACACTTGGTAAAACCTCTGCCCCCACTGGGACATCAAACACTGGGTTCACCTTTGGTGGGGGCTCGACTCAACCTACGGTTGGTGGATTTAACTCCGGGTCTGCATCATTACTAGGTTTTACTTTTGGAGCAGCCAAACCAACAGCACCTGCTACGGTGAATCCAACGCCAGAATTTACAACTGGAGGCGCAACGACAGGTGCTTCTTCAGCTTCATCAGGATTCACACTCACAAGCGACAGTGTAACAGGTAACCCCAGTTCTGGGCTTTCTCTGGGGGCCACCCCAATAACGAATACAACAAGTAGCTTCTTTCTTGGAGGTGGGTTCAAATTATGTGGGACAGCATTTACTCCAGCTAGTGCTGGATTCACGGCACTAAGTGTTCCAGTAGTGGCGTCTAGTTCAGCTACTCCTGTCACAGGGTTAGCGACAACTGCTGCAGCTACTGCTACCGATAGTACAGCGTCCACTGCCCTTACCCTTGGTACTGCTGGTACATCAGCAGCACCCGGGTTTTCCTTTCCAGCAGCTTCAGGATTTAAATTTGGCGCAACACAAACAACTGCGTCACTGTCAACTGCGGCAACGACAGGTTGGTTTTTTGTTTAACTTTTGAAGACCACTTAACCTCACATAACCACATGCTTTTTGGGTGTAATAAGCTTGGCCAGGGAGATACGCAACAAATTAAGAATCGAAAGAGCGTGAAGGGCAGGAGTTTTGCAACTATTGTTCGTTTTATGCCCCATCCACACTACGTCAGTGAAAACTGAGAACGCAGCTTCATTTCTGCGGTTAGGCCTGCTGTCTGCACAAACCTGGACTGAAATTGTCAATCGAAAACGAACTTTCCGAAAACGCTTTTCCAACTGGAGGCTTTGGAAAACGCCAGCTTTGCGTTTTAGTGTAGACGGAAAACATTTTGAAAACGGAGCGTTTGAAAACGATGATGTCAGAATTTGTATGAAAGTTTGTAATAGATAAATGCGATAAAATCAATAAGATCGATACTGATAATTTAAAATATCTATTACACACAACAGATGCCCTTATCTTCCTTTATTGATTTCTGATATATTTAACTAAATTCTACTGATTTTATCGATTGCCCACCGTGGAATAAAATACAAAATAAGTTTTGTTGTTTGGTGATTGTAAAACTATAGTGTACCTGAAATTTGTGCTTGAGCAGCACTTTCTTTACTACTTTCTCAGGAGGCTTGTTTGGACTGTTTGGCCAGCAGCAAACAACAGAAGGATTTGTTCAGAAGCCAGATGTCCTGTTCAGTACGACATCAAGTACAACTGGGACTGGAATTAAATTTGGTACGACGACGTGTAGCACCAGTGAACTGGCGGTATGTTCACTTTTTCTTGTTTTACATTCAGTAAACACCTGCGGATGCATGTATAGGTTGCTAGCCGCAGTAGACAAGTTTTAGTAACTGACGTAGGTGATCGTAATTTCTAGGTAGCCTCGCCTGTGTGTTTGAGGTGCTGCTCATCTGCTGCCCACACATTTAATAGTCTTAGGCAGTCCTCTAAGGATAGCACAGTTAGCATTATTGAGTCTCGGCAAGTTTAAAAGCAAAAACGAATTTCGCGTTTGGTATATTTACGAAGCAGCTTTGTGATTGTGTTTTGCTTATGAGGTGTTTGATTTCTCTCGCCTTTAGACAGGTCTATCTGTTGTAACAACTACATCAGCTGGGTTAAGTTTACCTGAGACTAAAAGTACAAGCTTTGACTGCGGACAACCCCAGGCTGATACAGGCGAACTGCTTGGGCAGACAGGATTAAGATTGAGTCAACAAAAGGTAGGAGGTCTGCACCTTATACAGCATGATAAACAGTCAATAGTTTTCCTTTGAATGGCCACACACTAAGCTTCCACAGCCAAAAAGTATAAACCACCTTATACAGGTAAATACATTTGCCAGTACCACTTGAAAGTGTAGCCCGCGTCACGGACAGTCTACACTACCGGTGTAGACCGCTTGCGTAACAACTCCCATAATCTTGTTCTGATATCCCGAAGGTTTGGGAGATATTNAGGAGGGGTACTCCCTTATATGGGCTATATAGGTATGTGCGGCCCCAAAGGGTATGGTTTTTTTAGCCGTTTTGGTCATAAATAGGGTATCGCTTTTAGCTGATTTTGGTCATAAATAGGGTATGGTTTTTGCACTCTAGCCTTGATATGGGTATGTTTTTAAGCAAAAGCCACTTGTTCATCATTATAGAAAAGAAACTCAACAAAAGCCCACAAGTTATGTTTACGGCAATTTAACATTGGTATGGACTAGGGAACTAATTATAACGCAGGTCTGAAGCAGGGTTTTGATTTAAGGGTAAAGTCATAAATACGGTTTTGAATTTTTGGTCAGTTCATAAATAGGGTAGGGAATATCGCATATTTTGGTCATAAATAGGGTAAGGGTTTTGACAAGCGGGCCGCACATCCCCACCCAATTTTTCTGGGAGTACTCCCCCCCCCTCCGGGGGGAGATATTATTTGCGTAACAAACATTCACTGCTAACATACAGGCTCTCGATAAGTGTAGTTCAATATACGTTGGTGCAAAGGAAGTTATTGTTTTGATTTTGGGGGAGAATGTGTCTAATTCGTCTGTTTATTGCAATTTTTGCTCTGGTATAGAATTATCATACGCAATAATATAACAATATTCTCGAGAATATTTTCAGCCTAAAATCGGCAGAAGAATAGGAATATTCAGCCAGGGCCGAGAAAATAATATTCTTATAAAAAACAGTCGCAATAAAAAGCGAACTATTTTAGGCCCTCTCCTTCAAATTAGCATCTGTAGAGCTTAAACCTGTCCTTGCAATTGAAAGGAACCAAACCAAATCATAGGAACACAGATCAGTGTTGGCAAACTCGAACTGTGCCACACGTAAAACAAACCGCGAAAAAAAGACTTATAATTTCGTGATATTAAGCCAACATCTGCAACTGTCAAAACATAAATGACTGTATTCAACTTAAATATCATCATGATGCCCTTTTGGTAAAACTGACAAGCAAAAGTAGTCAAAAATCCTATATTTACTGAACGGGTTGAATACAGCCGCAACTCCTGTCTGGAATCGTAGGAATTAATGGAGCAAGATATGTGTTACGCATGAATTCGTCTAATCAAAAAGCGTGTAAGAAACTACCAATCAGAAATGAATAAATATCCGTGCAAACTTGCAGGATATCACAACACGCTTTTTGGAGCCATTGCACAGACGAACTTTACTGAGGATTTTGTGACACGTCCATCTGCACCACCGGCTAATGAAATTGCTGTTCATTGTCTAACTGATCGGATAGTGGAGTTTCATAGGGAATCGCACATAATGACAACGATAACAAACAAATGTTATGTGTAAAATAGAGTACGGACAGTACTATGTATTGCTACTTTGACCAATAACATTCGCTACAACAAAAGACGGTATAAAAGCTAGTAGTAATCAGAGATTATGAGAGTGCGTTCGAGGCTCTCACTGTAATATATATATACCGTAAATAAATGATTTCACTAGCTGACTTTCAACCTTTGTATATTGCTAAAAGCAACTTTTTTCAGCAGCAACCGAGGTTTTACGGTCAGATATGCAGTGTCAAAGTCCATGCTAAGTGAGGAGGTCACGATTTGTTGATACGTTGCGTGACGCTGCCAGTTTCTGTGGACTCTCAAGTTTTATAAAATATTTAAATTACGTACATTATTCTAAGCTAGCATTTGCAATCGCGTGCTCGTTTCGCGTGCTCGTTTATCGTAAGCAAACTCCGTGCGACTTATTCGAGTATTTCCCCTGATGAATAAAGTAGTCTTATGGATCTTGCCTTCAAAGTACTTTTCCACCGATTCCAAACAAT